CCTCGACTTCCACGCAGCCCACAGGCTCCCTGGCTCTCTGGGCCACCTGGAGGACTCCTCGCCGCCACCCCTTCCCCAAGCACCCCCCGGATTATTGAAAGGCCCCCTGAATGACCAAATCCCAGCAACGGCCCTGGCGTGACTGGCTCTTGTGCCATCCTTTCCCACTGTTCTTAGATGCACAGAGAAGCGCCAGCACATATCCCAGACCCCTCCTCTGCTCTGCTTTCGAGGGAAGCTGCAGTCCTCCTCTCGAGAGGTCCAACAGTGCCCCTCCCCCCTGCAGGGAACAACAGACTCTAGTCTAGGGACCCTCCCACAGAGAAAGCTTGGAAACTGGGCTATCTGGAGGACCGCCTTTCCCCCTATGTTCCTGCCCAGGAATTAAGGCCCTTCTGACTGTGCCTGTTTGCCGGGCACACGCGACGGGGCCTTTTCGGTGGTAGCCCCACCCTTACAAAACCACCTCCCCAGGGAAGCACGCCTGGCCCCCTCACCTCCAGTCCTTAGGGAGCAGTTGAAGACAGTTTTATTTAGGACTGCATTTAGTTAAGTCTATCAGCCTTCCTGAGCAAGGCTCCCTCTAAGCTGTGGAGCGTTGCGAGCAAAAATTCTACTTTGTGAGCTACGGGCATGAAAGTTGCGAGCGAGCCATTGGGCCGCTGCGTAAATTAGTCTGCTCCGGAGCCCTCCTTCCTGAGCGAAGGCAATGATGGGTGAGCCGGAGGCTAGAAAACTGTGAGCTAGCCCACACTCACTCGGCTTAGAGGGAACACTGGCTCCTGAGTAGTGATTTTAAATTCAGGCCTTATGTTTTTATTGTATGTTTCTAAAGCTGCCTTGAGCTCTGTAAGGAGGGGAGGGAGCTAACGGGTGTTTTAAAGATATAAATAAATGAAGGCAGAGAGGCACCGATCCCTCTCGGAGACAATTTCATTTCCCTGCTAATAAGCAAACAGGATGCAAAGAGCATTACGTTAAATTACATTACTCGATTCAGATGCCTCTTTGCACGAACAAGAAGAGACAAAGGAACGGAGGCGCAGCCAGCTGACGGCCGCATTTCAACCGAGAAAATCGGTCTCGAAATGCCAGCTGGACCACGGAGTCCCCTGCAGTAGGGGAACTTTCTTGTTTCTCAACTGAAGGCTACTTTTACGTTTCCCTTCAGTCCCTGCCACAGCCCTGGGATTCCAAACACGCGCAACAAACACAAAAGGGAAGACGGGACTACCCGCTCCAACCGCATCCTACCCTGGATGAGCCCTCTTCCCCATGTGTCCCGGGAGGCTCCCAGTCCCACCAGCAAACAGACGAAGCTGTTGTGTGCCAGTTCAGAACTTTGGCCTGCGCGGCCCAGTCCGCTCCAATCTCTCGCAGCCCCCCCCCCAACTAGAGAGGCTGGGGGTTCATCCTGGGGCCTCGGGAACGCAAATCGTGAGCTGTTCTAACCCACACGAGAGCCGTAAGAGCTCCCTTTGCTCCTTGGCGGGATCCGGGCCGTGCCCGTTATGTCACGGCTCCTGCTGACTGTGAGCAAGCGGCTCCCGCTGAGTGCGAACAAGCCGCCCCAGCAGAGGATCTAAGTGCTGCTGGGGATGAGCTCTCGATGCCGGAAACTCCCGCACCTGGCAGGGCTGAGATTCCAGAGGCTACCCCAGCAACAGCTGAGGCAGAAGCACGCCCGGACAGTTCTCCTCCTGATTCGCCTCCGCCGGTATCCCGTTTGAGAGAACAGCACCGACGGGATATGGCAGCCGGGCAGCGAGAGGCACACATGCGTGGCAGGCGCTCATTCAGCCCCGAGTATTAGCAGGAGCCGGGACTCGCTTGGGGCATGCTAATAGCCAGCAGGCTTATGGGCTATTTAACCCACGCCCTCACGAAGCTCTGCACCTCCTTGCTCGTGATCCTAACTCCTGGTTCCTGTCTGGATTTCCTTGGCTCCTTGACCTCGGCTCGAACGACCACGCTTCGACTCTGCACCCCGAACTTTTGACTCTCTGGCTCGTGACTCTTTTGGACTCTGGTTTCCTGACGACTCCAACGGTTTGTGCTTTGAACTTGGTTTTCCGGTTGGTTTGCTTGCCTGGCTCTAGACTCCGGACTGTACCTTGACCACCCCGCTCTCGCTTTGTGTGTTGGACTTGGTTTCTGGCCAACTGGTGTGACTGGCTCTTGACCTCGGACTGCATCCCAACTGCCTCGCCCCTGCCTCACCCCGCATCGTGACACATTACCTGTCAACGGGCCGACGTTCCAAGCGATGTTGTTACACCACCCGGTGGCCTGAACCCAGTGGACGGTCCCGGCGTTGATCCAGACGAGGTCTCCCGGCCGCTGGATGAAGCGGTAGACAGGGATGTTGGACTGGTAGAGGTCTTCCAGGATGGGCCACCACGAGCCAGTCAGGTAATCCACATTGTGCCTGCGGGAAAGAGACACAAGCCCAATGAGGCAGGAAGGAATGTCCCAGACCAGTTTTCTGCAGACAGCACAGCTTGGCGTCGGCTGCCGCCACCAGACGACGACGTGCCAGAGAGCGCTCCATCTGGGATGTGAGCAGACGAGAGTCTAGCGCCTCGCCAGGTGGGGATCCGCCCCCACCCCAAGCGGGGCCAAAGCCTCCTCCCCCGGTCCCCTCCCCACCCACCTGTCACAGAAGGCACTGATGCTCTGCCAGTAATGCTCGTGGACTGCAAACCACTCGCAGTCGCCAGGCCCAATGTTGATGTTCACCGAACAGAAGTTGTTGTTCTCTTGGTGACCTGCAAGAGGGGAACGCTCTTTAGGACCCCAGACATTAGCTTTGGTTCAGAGCCTCTCTGGGCGCTCTTTCTGGAAAATTCCCTAGGGGGAAACAGGCATTCCGAGTGGGACAGAGGCTTGGATAAGGCACGGCATCCGTCGCTGAACGACATAGATTTTCATGTCGCTTTTCAATACATATAATTCACAAACTGGTTTACAGGGATTAAAAGTCTGTAAAGAAAAACGTTTTCTAAAAAAAATATGGAATAAAAGTCCCCCCCATTAATTGCCAAAAGGCACGCTGAACCAGCAGTCTTCCCAGTTGCCGTTAGAGGGGAAAAAGAAGAAACAGGGAGGGAGCCAAAGGAATTTCCTGAAGAAGGGGCTGCAGCTAAAAAGGCCCTGCTTCCAGCAGAGCTCGTTCTTGCCTCCCTAAAGGATGGGATGCTAAACAGAGCAGCCCTAGAAGAATACAAATGAGGAGTTGTTTGGGAAGAAATGTCAGGGGGGGGGGGGAAAATGGGGCTTTGAAGGCTAAAAACAGCACCATGAGGTTGGCAAAGAAACAAACCGGAAACTGACGAAACTATATCAGAACTAGAAAGACGCTGACCGTGCTGGAGGCGTAAGACTTACAACAATTTAAGGAAATTGATGAATTAGTGTAGGCCATATAATAACTTAACATCAAATAAAGCTCCAAAGTATTCCAAATCTTAAGCTATTCTGATTATTTAAACTATTCTTGTTCTTGAAATATACTGTTCAAAGCAATTAGTACACAAACAGGTTAAGCATTTGAAGGAAACTTTTGTGTCCCAGAATGGACTCCACAATTCCAAAGGGGAGAAAAGACTTCACAATTCCAAACTGGAAAAGCACAAATGTCCACAGAGCAAGTAAATCCAGTCCTTAACACTTGAGTCAAGCAATAAATGATAAGCTGCAGTCAACCCACTCTCCGGATTCTCCAATGTGTTATCAATCCCTTCATCAGGACTGCATGTCGACGGGTTCTCCCAGAAAGTAGTGCTTCCAAAACTGCCGTGTTTTACGGCGACGGGAACTCCCTCGGAACAATGTCTCCAAACTGCCTTATTTGTCTTTATTCATGATGAACACGTGTAGCCTCACTCTGGCTGAGGTCACACGGAGCATTAGGCATGCTAGAGAGACGGAAGATAGGTGGATTTTCCGGGCGCAATCTCACCGCCACATCTGGGAAGTGTAGAGCTCCTGTGCCGAACCTGATGCTTCCCGCTGAAGATGCACGGTTAAAAACTAGTACCTCAGAGGTACTAGTTTCCGGTAACCGCGGGGAAAGGGCGGGCGTCTGATCGTGTTTCCGGTGGTAGTTCCGGCGACCGCCCTGCCCCCTTGTATAAAGGTTGGGTTTTTTTCCAACTGTCCATGGGATGCGCACGAGCACCCAACGGGGCATGCGCACACTTTGGTGTCCGGAGAAAAAAAACTCGTTTGCCGCGCCGCTTCTTTACCGCGGCGCAGGATTGTGGTGTGCTCGGCACCTCCCCCCTACCACGGGACCTCCATGGGACCTCCACGGGACGTCTGCTGGTGCAACCGTGCGTTATTTTGCCCCGGGGCAAACAGCCACGCTTCCCCCCCGCATTTTCCTGCCCATGTGCCCACGGTCCCTGTAGGCATTCTCTTCCTTCAAATTCTTAACCTGTTTGTGTACTAATTGCTTTGAACAGTATATTTAAATGATAAGAATAGCTTAAATGATAAGAATAGCTTAAGAATTGAAATACTTTGGAGCTTTATTTGATGTTAGGTTACATATGGAGGCATAAGACTGGCACCAACACCCATGCCCCTCCTCTGCCTCTTACCCGGCGTGCGGCTGCCTGGCACCTTCATGTACAGCTGCACCGTGTTCATGCCCAGGATGGTGTGTCCCACGTGACTTAGCATGTTCCCCGTGGAGGTGACTCGCATGAAGGCAGGCAGCTTCAACAGCTCCTGTAGCTGCGGCTTCCACCTGCAAGCCATCGGAAAATGGAAAAGTTCATTTTAAAAGAGCTTCAGAGAGAGGCCGTGCTGGTCTCCAGTCAAATAGCTCGATTAGAGTCCAGGAACACCTTTGCTCAGACAAAGCGAGGTTTGACTCTCAAAAGCGCCTGAGGTGCTGCTGGACTTGAATCAAGATGTCCATCCTTTAAAAGCTACTAAAGGCGGCTGTGCGCCGTCAGCAGCCCTGAGCAAAAGTCCCCCCATCGCTCCACTGCATGAACACTGAAAAGCGACTAAAAAGTCAGAAGCAAATCGATGAACGGAACTGCAAAGAATGATTGCCGGCAATGAGCTGTTATGACTTCCGTCTTTTAAACAGCAAAAAAAAAAAAAAGTCTGTATACAACAATAACATGGCTCAGCCACAGGGGGGCAGCATAGAACCATCACTTTACTCTCTTGCAATGGCCACAGATGGCCACCGGGAGGCAGCATAGACAGAGCCAACCCCAGAAAGAGGCTGTTGCTCAATATGGCCACTGGGAGGGCAGCAGAGAGGCAACCGTTGTCTTCCAGGCAGGAAAACGGAGGAGCAGCAAAAGCTCAATGAGTGGCCCTCCATTGCAGTGACAGATTATAGCCACAGGGGGGCAGCAAAGGCTGAAAACTATAGACTACGGAATCCCAGCGGCGCCTTAACTAAACCACCAGGAACACATCTTCAGGGATGGGCCACTGGACTCAAACTTTGCTCTGTTCCCAGCATTGTTGACCAGAGCTTGAAGGGCCAAGACTCTCTCTGGAGTTAAGGGACTGCTTTCATTCGACTGTGGGGACGGCAGAGGAAGAAGCGCTCGAGGCTTCCGTGTGTGTCCCCCCCGCCCTCCTCACCGCTTGGCATCCGAGAGGTCGATGTTGGTCCCAAACTTGATGATCTGGTGAGGTTTCTGATCGGGGTTGGTGCTGGGAAGGAAAGCCAAAGAGACAGTTACAATCCGAAGGGGGGAAAGTGTATCCGAAGTGAGCCGTGACTCACGAAAGCTCCTCCCCGGCCACATAGGATCATAGAGTTGGAAGGGACCTCCGGAGTCATCTAGTCCAACACCCTGCACAATGTGGGAAAGTCACAAATACCTCCCCCCCGCCACACACACACACAAACCCAGTGGGGCCCCCGCTCCATGCCCAGAAAATGGCAAAAAAAACCCTCCAGGATCACTGGGGGCCAAACTGGCCTGGACAAAAACTGCTTCCTGACCCCAAAGTGGCGATCGGCATTTCCCTGGGCGTGTAAGACAGGGCCACGAGAACTAAGCACCGAGGCGACCCTTCCTGCCCTCCCTCTCGTGATCTGCCCAAGTTCACAGAACTAGCATTGCTGTCCGATGGCCATCTAACCTCTGCTTTAAAAACCTCCAAAGGAAGAGAGCCCGCCACCTCCCGAGGACCCTCTACCTCTCAGGAAGTTCTTCCTAATGTTTAGCCGAATGATTTAATTTCAACCCGTTGGTTCTGGTCCGACCTTCTGGGGCAACAGAAAACAACTCTGCCCCATCCTCTAGACGACAGCCCTTCGAGTACTTGAAGAGGGTGATCATAACCCCTCTCAGTCGTCTCCTCTCCAGGCGACATTTTGTTAGTCTTTAAGGTGCCCCTGGACTCTGGCGCTTTTCTAAAAAGTTACACTGCAAATGAGGAGGGGCAAAGGGAGGAGGGTTCGTCTCCCACACCCACCCACCCACTTTCCACCCCATTTCCTTCCAAGCTCCAACTGTTTACATTTTTAAAAATGATTTCCCAACCGCCTCCTCCCCCCAAATGTATCCCATGTCCCAAACTCCTCCATCTTCAATGTCAGCACCCCCATACTTTTGCCACCATGGCAGGGCAGGCGGGTGCCACGGCTGGACGGCCCCCCCCACCTTCCCCGGGAGCCTCTTCCTCGTGATGGGGCGGGAATGGCCCAATGTCAGCTAGGCACAGCTGCCATGGCTGGTGGGGGTGGGGGTGGGGGAGACGTCAGTCTACCTATGTAATGGAATTGTAAGTTTCGTTTCTTCCCGACTCTTCTTATTTGTGTAGCCTAAGCCAGTGTGACCTTGGTATCTTACTGTAACTTTCCCCTGAGAACATGTACCCGTTAGGTTAGGCGGGCTTTTGCTAGCTCCCTGATTGGACCGGGGCCGTCAAGGGACCCCTCTGAATTCTGTATAACTCTCCGCTGCGCACGCTTTGAATGAGTTCTGACACAGGATGTATGCACAGAAGACCTGCCTTTACTGTACTCGATAAACTTTACTCTTTTGAATGGAAGTTGTTGGGAACGGATCGCCGCAGGTGCCTGACGCCTACCTGGGGGGAGTCTCCGTGGTGCTGTCCGGCTCTTCGGCCTCCTCCTCGTCGCTCTCTTTGTCTTCCTGCCCCCCCAAGATAAGAAAAGGTCAAAGATGGAGGCGCCCCCTCACACAGCGGGGCCCACCGGTGGCCTTTCCCGCTCCAGAGATCCTCGCCCCGAGGTGGGGGGGGGAGGAGAAAGAAGAGGGCCTCCCTTCTCACCTGGAGAGACTCCTGGAAGGACGCTGCCTGGTACTGGGCATACTTGGCGATGGTGGTGTGGGACCGGCTGCTCTCGCACGGCCACACCTGCTTCGTCCCCTGGAGGTCCCAGTTCTCGTCCGACGGCTGCTGCACCTGCGTGCGCACCTCCACGGCGTGCTCCCCGCTGGCCTCCACCAGCGTCTTTGTGCTGAACAAGCCCAAGTCTGAGGGGAAGGCAAAGGGGGCCCCCGTCAAGAAGGGGCGCCAAAACCCGCCGGCCGTCCACGGCACTACCGCCTCTTCCCTGTCTCCACACTTCCAACAGAAGCTGTGCTCACAACCGTCCTCCCCTCAAACTCTTCCCTGACCCCAGAGCCCCTGACCTCAGCCATGTCCTTCTGCTACCCACCACAGAAGCTCTAGTTGCCAGCTTCCAGATGGGGCCTGGGCATCTCCTGGACAATGAGAGAGGTTTATAAAATTACGTATCGGGTGGAGAGAGGGATTTTCCTCCCGAAAGGCTAGAACTTCTGGGCAGTAGGTTCAGGACAGGGAAAAGGGAATACAGAAGGAGGAGGAGATTGGATTTATATCCCGCCCTTCACTACCCAAGGGAGTCTCAGAGCAGCTTACACACTCCTTTCCCTTCCACTCCCCACAACAGACACCGGCTGTGAGGTCGGTGTGGCTGAGAGAGCTCTGACAGAAACTTCTCTTTTTTCAAGAACAGCTCTTATCAGAACTACGGCTTGCCCAAGGTAATCCAGCAGGTGCAAGGGGAGGAGTGGGGAATCAAACCCGGTTCTCCCAGATTAGAGTCCACGCACTCAACCACTACACCAAACTGGCAGAAGAAGAAGAGGAGGAGATTGGATTTATACCCCGCCCTTCACTACCTTAAGGAGTCTCAGAGCGGCTTACAAACTCCTTCCCCTTCCCCTCCCCATAACAGACATCCTGGGAGGTCGGTGGGGCTGAGAGCTCTGACAGAAACTGCTCTTTTTTTCAAGGACAGCTCTGACAGAACTACGGCTTGCCCAAGGTCATCCAGCAGCTGCAAGTGGAGGAGTGGGGAATCAAACCTGGTTCTCCCAGATTAGAGTCCGTGCACTTAACCACGACACCAAACTGGCTCTCAGAGAGTGATTAAACTGTGGAATTGGCTGCCAGAGGATGTAGTGACGCCCACAGGAATCAACGCCTTTAAAAGGGGATAAGATTGATTGATTCATGGAGGAGAAGTCTGTCAATGGCTGAGGGGAACCTCCACCTTCAGAGGCACCAATCCCCTGCATCACAGAGCCAAGCGGGGTAAGGCCCTCGGCCTCCGTGCCCTGTCGTTGGCCCTCCAGAGGACCTGGCTGGCTTTGGAAGGCCGGTTCTGTGGCCCTGTACTCCGCTGGGATGCCGGGCCCTCCCCTGGATCGATCGACAAATCTCCAGGAGTTGGCAAGCCTCGGGGAAGTCTCTCCCCTCAGCCCCCTCCTGGTCCCCACAAGCCCTCGCCTCGTTCTTAGACCCTCCTCCGAACGCGGGCCCGAGCCCCTAAGCACCCCAACGCAAGCCCCCTCCACCACCCCCACAACCCCACGGCGTGGGGGGACTCACTGAGGCGGAGGGAGCCGGCCAGGCCCCGGATGACGGTGATGGGGTTCTTGGGGTCAGTGCAGAACTGCAGGAGCACCGGTGAGAAAGCGTCCCGTTTGCTCTCCAGCTGCGGAGGAAGGAGAGGAAAGGCACAGGTGAGAGACCGAGAAACCCGCGGGGATCTGGCCACATAAGACTCCTCGCTGGAAGCAGCCGCCTGCTCAACCGGGCCCCCAGGTCAGACCAGCAGATGGAGAAAGCCGGGCGGCCCAATGTTCCCACAGGGGCTCAGCTCCTCCCGTGGCCCCCGGCAATGCCCCCTCTAAGCTGCCGGGTCTGGTGAGCAAAAAATCCTACTTTGTGAGCTACCGGCATTAAAGCTGTGAGCCAGCGATCAGGCTGCTGCTCCGGAGCCCTCCTTCCTGAGCCAAGACAGTAATGTGTGAGCCGGAGGCTAAAGAACTGTGAGCTAGCTCACACTGACTCAGCTTAGAGGGAACACTGTCTGTGAGCTACTGGCATTAAAGTTGTGAGCGAGCGACTTGGCTGCTGCATAAATTTGTTTGCTCCGGAGCCCTCCTTCCTGAGCTGAGACAAAAAGGTGTGAGCCAGAGGCTAAAGAACTGTGAGATAGCTCACACTAAACTCAGCTTAGAGGGAACACTGTTTGGGAGCTACTGGCATTCAAGTTGTGAGCAAGCGATTTGGCTCCTGCATAAATCAGTTTGCTCCGGAGCCACATCCTTCCTGAGCCAAGACAGAAATGTGTGAGCTGGAGGCTAAAGAACTGTGAGCTAGCTCACACTCACTCAGCTTAGAGGGAACACTGACCCCCAGTTCACCTCAACACCCCCCTTTTCCAACTGGGAATTCCTCTTTGGATGAAGTTAAGGGGCCCTTTTGTTAGGCAACACTGCCAGCCACCGAAGGCCTCCAGAGCCATCCTGAAAGACTGGGTTTTCCCTTCCTCGTGCCGAGGCCTTTGGCCAGTTCTTTTTGTGTGTGTATGACTGTGTGTGTGTGTGTGTGTGTGTGTGTGTGTGTGTGTGTGTGTAAGTCATGGCTGACTTCTGGCGACCGCTAGTGGGGCTTGGACGTTTCAGGGAGGTGGCTTGCTATTGCCTGCCACTGCGTCCGGGCCCTGGTATTCCTTGGAGGTCTCCCATCCAAACACCTGCCAGGGTTAAGAGAGTGCGCCACTATCCCCTCTGGAAGTTGTAACCCAATTTCCTTATATGCCTTTGGCCAGTTCTTTTTGTGCGTGTATGACTCTGCGTGTGTGTGTGTGTGTGTGTGTGTGTGTAAGTCATGGCTGACTTCTGGCGACCGCTAGTGGGGCTTGGACGTTTCAGGGAGGGGGCTTGCTATTGCCTGCCTCGGCGTCCGGGCCCTGGTATTCCTTGGAGGTCTCCCATCCAAGTACCTGCCAGGGTCGGCCCTGCTTAGCTTCCGAGATCCAACAAGATCCGGCTTGCCTGGGCTACCCCTACCCCGGTCGGGGCTCCTTTGGCCCAAAAGGCAGAATGCACGGGCACGTGTGGCGGAAAACCTTCCTCTCCTGCCTTTTCTCCTCTACGGCAGAGCACTCCAGGCGTAGCGGACACAGGGAAGGGTGGGCTGGGCCCCTCACACTGCCACCACGGGGAAAACCCAGCCGAAGTCGGGGGTCAAAAATTCTGGGTCAGGAAATGGACAAAACGACAAGGAAACTTAAGAACCTTGAAGCAGAAGAATTTTATGCAGATTGGAAAGACTTTAAATAATATCTGGAAAAATATTGGGACGTAAAGGACAATTTAATTTGCTTTGACAATTATTGAAAAGTGAATGTTACTAGATGAAAGTTAATTAGGAGAAAATAAGAGTAGAAAGAAGTGTTACCGGTAGACTATGGTTAAAGGATAAGTGAACATAAAGAACTAAGAAATGGGGTGGAGGTTGGAGCACTGTGGGAAGCCAGAGGAGGGGGGGGAGAGAAAAAGGGATGTATAATAAAAAATAATATGTTGTGTATTTGAACTAATAATATATCCTAATAAATTGGTTTTTTGGGGGGGAAATTCTGGGTCAGGAGCCACGGGATGGAAGCTCTCGATGGAACCACACCGAGAAGTCTGTTGAGTGAAGATGGGGAGGGACAACCGGCCCGGGCCGTACCCAGTGTGAAAACGAGAGACTGCAGAAGTTCCGGGGGAGACCGCAGAGATGATCCCACAAGAAGGAGGCAGCCCCAGCCACGAGAGAAAACGGAGGGCGTTCGACCCACCCATTGAAAGGAGACGTTCATTTGGGGTCCCCGTCTTTGGCTCCGGCTTCCAGGAGCTCTCTGAAGCCACCACGAGCCCAGGAAAAGGGGGCGGAAGACGTTTACAAGCCAGCTTCTACCGCTTTCGTATCTGTTGCTTTAACATTCCTCCAAACGTGTTTATTCCGTTGTTGCCCGCCTTGGTGCCGCTGAGTAAGGTGGGCCCCAACGGCATAAAAACATCTGGAGAGACGTTAAAGCTACAGATACAAAAATGGCAGAAGCTACCTTCTAAACTGCAAATAAACCAATGAACAAAAGATCCTCGGTGACCCCGAAGCTGTCTGTAGGTGAGGGAGGCACTCCAGTGGACACGGGACTGAGAAGAGGCACTCAGCCGCCAGGTAACGCAGGAGGTGTGTCCTGCACAAAGAAGAGCTTGATTGTTTCAGGTCAGTGCAGTAGCGACTCTAAAAGGCACGGACCGGCACCAGGGCAATGATGCACAGTCCAAAGAGACGTTCCACACCATCACTGTGAGCAAGACACTGACATCCACGGGGGGACGGGGGACGAGGCATTTGAAGCAAGATCCCAGCCCGTGCGTGTGAAGCACTGTCAAGTCCAGGGGTGTCAAACATGCGGCCCAAGGGCCGGATCAGGCCCCTGGAGGGCTTCTATCAGGCCCGCAGTGGAACGGGCTTGTCTTCTGCTCCTTCTTCCAGTTCTACTGCTGCTGCGTCATCGTAGGCTTCCAGCTTACAGATACACACCTGAACAGCACACTCAAGACTCCAACAGCACAGACGTTTTGATGCAATAGTTCAGAGCAAGAGGTGTCCGTGATCAGACACCTGTTAAATAAAATATTGCAAGAGTGCTAATGTTTTAAGCATGTGTTTAAGTAAAAAAGCCCACCTTTGTGTTTGTGCCCTTTATAAAGTTCATATCTCCGCTCCCTGGCATTACATTTTATGACACACACAGCCCGGGTCCAACAAGGTCTCATTTATGTCCGATCCGGCCCTCGTAACAAATGAGTTCGACACCCCTGGTCAAGTCCCTTCCAACTTACGGCGATCCTGTGAGTGAATGCTCTCCAAAGCGCCCTCTCATTAACAGCCTTGCCCAGATCTAGACGGGTCGCCTTGTTGGATCCGTCTGTCACAGTAGAAAGGGGGCAAAAGTCCAGGAGCACCTGAAAGACCACGAAAGCTCTTGCCCGGCCACAGATTTTATTAGTCTTTCAGGTGCTCCTGGACTCTTTCACTTTTCTCCTGCCTTTGTGGCTTCCTCGATGGAGTCAATCCGCCTCATGTTGGGTCTTCCCCTTTTCCTGCTGCCTTCAACGATTTTCCTAGCATTATTATCTTTTCCCGTGACTCTTGTCTTCTCATAATGGGACCAGAGTATGACAGCCTCAATTCAGTCATTGTAGCTTCTAGGGTGAATTCAGGCTTGATTTGATCTCGTTTGGTGCCGTGGTTTAAGTGCGCGGACTCTAATCTGTGAGAACCGGGTTTGATTCTCCACTTGCAGCTGCTGGATGACCTTGGGCAAGCCGTAGTTCTGATAAGAGCTGTCCTTGAAAAAGAGCAGTTTCTGTCAGAGCTCTCTCAGCCCCACCGACCTCACAGGGTGTCTGTTGTGGGGAGGGGGAGTGGAAGGAGTTTGTAAGCTGCTCTGAGACTCCTTCGGTTAGTGAAGGGCGGGGTAGAAATCCAATCTCTTCTCTTCTTCTTTTCTTCTAAAACCCACAGTTTTGTCTTTTTGGCCTTCCATGGTTTCTGAAAAACTCTCCTCCAACACCACATTTCAGAGGATTCAAATTTCTTCCTGTCAGCTTCAATTTCTTCGTTGTCAGCCTTCCGCAGTAGTCATTACTTTTGTCTTCTTGCTTTTACTCTATAATCCTGCTTTGGCCCTTTCTGCGTTAACCTTCATCAGCAGTCGTGTCGAGGCTTCACTACTTCTGCCAGTAATACAGTGTTACCTGCCCATCTCAAAACTGTTACTGTTCCTTTCACCAATTTCCACCCCACCTTCGTGTAAATCTAAACCAGCTTTCCTTAGGATATGTTCTTTATATAGACTGAAGCGATAGGGAGATAAAATACATCTTCATCTGATACCCTTTGCCTGTTGGAAACCATTCAGTTTCCCCATCCTCTGCCCTAGCAGCAGCTTCTTGTTCAGAGGACAGGTTGTACGTCAAAACAATCAGATGTTTCGGCGGTACATCAAAACAATCAGATGGCTTCGCACTACCAAATAGTAAATTGTACCGCCAAGCAGCTGCACTGGCTTGGATTTCAGATCGGATCATAATAAGAGGAACATCCAAATGAGAGGAACATCAGACTGGAAATAATGGATGTAAAAGAAGGAATCCACAATTTATGGATTAAGAAGTCACTGAAAACTATTCAAGGACAAGACAGCAAACGTATTTTGAGGGACGGTCTATTAAGAATGTGGTTTCAATGTAAAAATAGAATAAGTCCGTCCATTTTGCCATTGACCTCTCCAACTGATAAAGAAAACTGATCGTATAACTTAAGACTATCTGATGAGACAAGGGAAAATCAAACCTTGGCAAGAAGTCTATAATGAAGGAAAGAATATCCCCGTGGCTGATACATCACCAAATGGTATCCAAACAGAAAGAACAAATAGCCAAAGAAAGAGGTCGGCTAAGAGAGAAAACGACCTTTGAACAATTAATTACAGGAGAAACATTTATTAAGAAAAAATTATAAAATCCTACTGCAATAGGAAACAGAAACAGAGCAAGTTAAAGATTGTGTGATTAAATAGATGAGAATTTCTGGAGAGAATGTTCCCATAAACCAGTAGGAAAAATTACGGACTAAAGAGATTAAATTTACTGAATCTCAAATATTAAGGGAGAATTGGTATAAAATGTCTTTCAGGTGGTCTATCACGTTCAAACAAATCACAAAAACCAATACTGGATATAACGCAAAGTGTTGGAAATGTCAGAGCACAGATAGAACATTCTACCATATTGCATTAAAATCTATGAAGAAATGCAAAAAGTTTGCAATGGACCCCAAGAGTATGTTACAAAATATTTTATCAAGTAATATCATGCGAAGACATCGTGAACTGTTTGAATATATGGTAATGCTGGCAAGGGTGACATTTGTGAAAAGATGGAAGGCATGAAAATGCCCGGAACTGATGGAATGGAAGAACAAATTAAAACAAATACACAACAATGGCAAAACTAATATCTTAATATATATAACAGACCACTTTCAGAATTCCAAGAAAAAATGGAATGTACTTTTCAAATATATAGCTGATAATTTGGACTAAATCGCTAAAGCAGAGAAACACCAAGAGGTAGAGTCAGACAACGTATCTTTGTAAAACTGAATTTTTAGATATGAGTGATGAGGGAAAGATAGAATAAAGTTAAACAGAAGTGTAAAATTAAGAACTTTTATTAAGCAAGCTGGTTCTGATTGAGAATTGTAATAAATTCGATTACTGTGGCATGTAGTTCATGATTGTATATATGTATACTTTAGATATGGTAGATGAAGTAGTTGTAGAAGAAATGATTATTTATACTTTTGTTTATGCCTGTATAAAATGATTGTCCATGTTTTATGCATGATTGTAGTTGTGTTTTGTATTATTATGGAACATGTTATTGTTTATTTTTGTGCTTATAAAATAATCTTTTCAGATGTGGTGGCACACCCGTTGCATTTAAAACCAACCACAGCTTTTCGTGATCCACACAGTCCCAGATTTTGCTGTAATCTATGAAACAAAAGTGATTTTCTTCAGAAATTCTCTTGAAAGGTCCAGTAACCAACATAAATTTCCAATATGATCTCTAGCACCTCTTCCTTTTCTGAGTCCGGCTTGAACATCTGGCATGTCTCATTCTAGGTACGGTAACAGTCTTTGCTCTAAGATTGTAAGCACCACTTCATTCACGTGAGAAATTAATACAATGGCTTGATAGTTGCTGCAATCTTTGACATCTCCTTTTTCTGGAACGGACCATTTCCAGTCTGTGGGCCGTTTTGTTTTCCATACTTGTTGGCACAATCCAGTCAAAGATTTTGATGGACTCTGTTTCTGTGACTTGGAACGGCTCTACTGATACCCCACCTACTCCTGGTGATCGGTTTCTCCTGACTGCTCTCACTGCAGCTCTCACTTCACTTTCTAAAAATGCAGGTCCTTCTTCAAAAGATTCTCCTTGGAAAGAATCTTGTCATCCTTTCCTCTCTTCTGTATAGCTCTTCGGTGGATCATTCCCTTCTTTGCTTTATTTTGTCCCGTTTGGTGAATGTGTTCCCATGTTGATCTTTCAAGCATGCTTAACGGTGTTCTAAATTTCCCTTCGATTTCTTGGGACCTTGTGGGCAGGGCTGAGGGGGCCACAAAAACCTGAAGACGCTTCTCATCATGAGATGAGAAAAGCCAACGCAACACCCTGTTTGTCTTCTGGCAGGGAGGCAAAGCCAAGGCAAGTTGACACTGAGAAAGAAACGCCGGCGCCAGATTATCCAGCTATCTCGGAACACGAAGTCCCAGGGCCGCTGAGTCAGGGGCCGTCTCTCTCCAGAGGAACAAAGGCAAGGCTATGCAACAGAATCCCAAAACTACAGGAGAAGACCCCGATTCTTGGGGGGAGGGAATTAAAGGCGGGGCAGCAGCAAGATGACCGCTCTGGACTCCGATTGCCATCTGAAAGGTGCACAGGACACAGAGCGCTAGAAAGAGGGAGTTCAGAAATGCTAGTCCTCTTTGTGGGAAGAGCTACAATAACAGCATCATCTAAAAGAGGAGGGTCAAAAGCCCAAGAGACCCGCATCGGGAAGAGGAAAATGAAATTAAAGGGTTAGTGCGTCGCAACTGAATCCCCCCCCGAAAAAAAACTTTCTTTAAAAAAAAATATATGAGAGAAACCAAAATGACCTCACACTGATCTTTGAGGAAAGGCTGAAAGAGTTGGGTCTGTTTAGCCTGGGAAAGAGAAGGCTTAGAGGGGACACATGATTGCAGTCTTCAAATATCATGCAGAAGATGGAGCAGATCTATTCTCTCTTGCTCCGGATTGCAAGACTAGATCTAATGGGTGGGAATGACAAGGGAGTCGATACCGGCTAAATATCAGGGGAGACTTCCTAACCATAAGAGTGGTTGAGCAGTGGAACAGACTGCCTGGGGAGGTGGTGGACGCTCCTTCGCTGGACGTTTTCAAGCAGAAGCTGGACGACCATCTTCCGGGTATGTTGTAGGGCTCTCTTTCGGCTACGCTCCTGCAGAGTGCAGGGGGCTGTACTAGATGACCTGCAAGGTCCCTTCCATCTTTTAACATTCCACGATTCCATGATCCTACACCTCCAGAGCCTGGGCTGCTTGGAGCTCATGCTAAAATTAACAGCCCCGAAACTTTGACATCTACTTTCCCCAACTTCTGGCTGCCACAGGAGGGCCGAAAATGATGGCCACACGCCCCCCCCCCCATCAAACCATCAGGAATCTTCGTCAGGTCCTTTACGCCCTCTGAGGTCTCACCTGGCAAATCCCCACCCCTTCTGTGCACCCCATGAGGGCTAGCACCTCGCAGCTCTGTTTTGTTATCTATGGAAGTGAATGTGTGTGTGTGTGTGTGTGTCGGGGGAATCCCTGAATCCCAGCCACGTTTTCTTGTGAGCACCATGAACCCCACCCCCACAAAAGAGGCACTCACGTAGATGCTTGGGGTGGGGGGGTTGAGTTTGTCCCGCGGGAGCTTTTCTTCTGAGTTGATCTGAGGCTTGACGGACAGGGCGGGTGACAGGTAAGACTCCTTAAATTTCCCCTTCACCTTGTGGTGCAAAAAAGGGGGGGGGGGGGGGGGAGAGGAACACAGGAAGAGACAATGAGACAGCAGAGAACAAAACAGTTAACCAAGGAGGTAACGGGCTGGGTTGACACGGCTTCTTTTAGTCACAGGTGGAATAAAAGATCGCGGGTAGTGTCTCACACTCGAGACCCGACTTCGGGTCCCCAACTCTGCCACAAAACAATTCTGAGCCACTCGCTGCCTCTTGGCCTAGCCTACTCTGCAGGGACGTTGTGAGTTAAAAGGGAGGAGAAGCAAGATGTGCAACTTCTACATGCATTTCACCAGGCTTTTGACTTGTCCTCGAAAGGCACGACCGGCCCCAGAGGGCGGAGGAAACCCCACCTTCCCCATCCACTGGGATTCTCGGCCAGGCCTCTCCCCCTCCCATTTTTCACGCCACGAGGACGAGAACCTTGCAGCTTTCTTTTCAAAAGTGAAAGGAAGCCGGCGTTCTGAAGAATCGCCGAATCCCTTGCTGGTGGCAGCCGTGAGCCGTTGTGATGCACGCCCGGCCCCTCTTGTGCCTTCCTGGTTCTCACTGAAGAGGGGTGGGGGCAGGGGAAAGAAGAGACCATTTATACCACCCTGAGCTCCCTGGAGACCGGAGACGGGCCCTAACGAATCAATCCCAAGATGTCCAGAGAATTTTTGCAGCGGAGAACGTTTCAGGTCTGAAGTCCTCCTTCCCAGCTGCGATCTGTGCTCGATCCAGCTGGCGCTGAGCTCCCCCAGCTGCCTTTGGAAACCGCCTGCCACGCGTGTGTCATTCAAGGCCCTCTTCTGCGCGGGTACTAGGAGTGCCACTGAGCATGTGCAAAGCGACCGCCTCTCACCAGGTAGCCTCCCAACGTTACTGGGAGGGCTCTAGAGGATACGCAGCAGAAGTTTGGCGCCTCTTGTAAGGCAGTGGCTAAGGTCTGTCATGAAGGTCCCGGGTTCAAATGTCACCTTTACCTCCAGCATCCCGGGTTCAAATGTCACCTTTACCTCCAGCATCCCAGCTAGGCCCCACAGGCTAGTCACTCTCTCAGCCTCAGCCCCTCCCCCACTGCCAGACGGGGAGGCCAGTGCCAGCCTACCTCGCAGGGCTGTTGTGAGGATTATAACAAGCGGGAAGCCCTTTGAACAATGGCGACGTTTGGATTATAGCAGAACCAAGGGCCGGGGGTACGGCAGGATTTAACCTGCTGTGGCCAAGGCCCAAAGCCTCTGCTCCACCCCCACCCGCTCTTGACCCAGAGAACCCCAACGAGGGCACCGTCCACACTCAGCCTCTCAGCTCCTGGACTTTAGCCCCGAGGTCTCCCTTATCTGGGCTCAGCCCTGCTCTCCACACTGCCCAAACACTGGGAAGACAAATAAGAGGACAGGCCAAAGTCTCCCAGAACAGAACGTATCGGAGAGAGGCCCGCAGTCCAGTCACCTCCAAGGCCCTCCCCTTCTGCAAACTCTCCACGGGCTTCATCCCAATCAACGCTCCCTCTGAGCTGCGGAGTCTCGTGAGCAAAAATCCTGCTCTGTGAGCTACCGGCATGAAAGTTGTGAGCAGACGATTTGGCTACTGCATAGATTAGTGTGCTCTGGAGCCACCTCCTTCCTGAGCTAAGACAAAAATGTGTGAGCCGGAGGCTAACAAACTGTGAGCCAGCTCACACTCACTCAGCTTAGAGGGAACACTGATCCCGCCCCGCCCCCACATTTCTCCCCGTCAGGGACAAAGCAGGAGACCCGAGGTTAGGCAATCACACACACACACACACACCCGTTGCATGCCCCTCCCCAGAGTCTCAGACACGTTTTGCAAAGGGGCACGTGAGTCAAGGCAACCAGGGCGGCTGCCGGCCTAGTGCAAGATTCTGAATTTCTTTGAGCACACTCATGTCCCAAATACATCAAAGACAGACGGTGGACTGGGAAGCGTCATTCGAAGACAGTGTGGCACTAGCCCCTGGACCTAGGTAGGAGGAGGGGCGGGTGGGCATTTTGCAGGGACCACGTTTTATCCAAGGCTTCCCTGTTTCAGCTCTAGAGGAAGTACCAAGTCTATGGCTGGAGGGTACAGAATAGACACTATTAACAACACTTCATCGATACATGTAAACAGTTGCAGTAAGTAATGACTGTATAGGTTTATCGGTCCATCAACATCCAAAGGTCTCCTCCTCGCGACAGGTGGCTAGCTTCAAGCCTGGAAATGGATGGATGCGCTTTATAAGGTATCATAAGCATAGAATCAGGGAGCCGGAAGGGACATAAGAACATAAGAGAAGCCAATGTTGGATCAGGCCAATGGCCCATCCAGTCCAACACTCTGTGTCACACAGCGGCCAGAAATACCAGGTGCCATCAGGAGGTCCACCAGTGGGGCCAGGACACTAGAAGCCCTCCCACTGTTGCCCCCCCCCCAAGCACCAAAAAGACAGAGCATCCCTTGCCCCAGAGCCCCTATCTATACCTTGTGGCTAATAGCCACTGATGGACCTCTGCTCCAGATGCTTATCTATTACCTCCAGCGTCATCTAGCCCAACCCCCTGCACAAGGGAGGAAATTCACAAATACCTCGCCCCCACACACCCCCAGTGACACCTGTTCCATGCCTGGAAGATGACAAAAAACCTTCAGGATCCCTGGCCAAAACCGGCCTGGAGAAAAATCACTTCCTGACCCCAAAGCAGCGATCGGCATTTCCCTGGGCGTGTAAGAAAGGGCCACAAGAACTAAGCACTGAGGCAACCCTTCCTGCCCTCTCTTTTGTGATCTGCCTCAGTTCACAGAATCCGCATTGCTGACAGATGGCCATCGAGCCTCTGTCTGAAAACCTCCAAAGAAGGAGAGCCCACCACCTCCCGAGGAAGCCTGTTCCACTGAGGAACCGGTCTAACTGTCAGGAGGTTCTTCCTCATGTTTCACGACCTCGCTCAAAACGGGAACGAAGTTAGCAACTGCCGATAGCATACCGGATTCGTTTCAAGGTGTTGGTTCTTACTTTTAAAGCCCTATATGGTCAGGGACCTACATACCTAAGGGACCGCCTTTCCCCACATGTTCCCCGGAGAGCACTGTGGTCGGGGGCCCAGAATCGGCTGGCCCTCCCGGGTCTTAAGGAGGCCAAGCTGTCGATGGCCAGGGCCAGGGCCTTTTCGGTGGTGGCCACAGCCTGGTAGAACGAGCTCCCGGAGGAGATCAGGGCCCTGAGGGACCTTTTACAGTTCCGCAGGGACTGTAAGACGGAGCTCTTCCACCAGGCTTTTGGGAGCCGCCCCCACCGCCAGTGAAGAACACCAGCTGGCCCTGGACTCTGGAATCGCCATCGACGGCCTAAAGAACAGCAAGTCCTGCGAGAATATTCCAAACAAACACTAAAAGAAGAAGAAGAGAAGAAGAGATTGGATTTATACCCCACCCTTCACTACCCAAAGGTGTCTCAGAGCGGCTTACAAACGCCTTTCCCTTCCCCTCCCCACAACAGACGCCCTGTGAGGTAGGTGGGGCTGAGAGAGCTGACAGAAACTGCTCTTTTTTTCAAGAACAGCTCTTATCAGAACTACGGCTTGCCCAAGGTCATCCAGCAGCTGCAAGTGGAGAAGTGGGGAATCAAACCCGGTTCTCCCAGATTAGAGTCCGCGCACTTAACCACGACACCAAGAGCCGACTGTGAGATAAGAACTTTGTACAGTGGTTACTGGCTGCTACTATTGTATGAATATTACCAACTGACACTTTAGCATGATCTTAGAATTTGTTTTAACTGTAACTTATGTCTTAATGTAACTACCTGTTTTTAGGTAAGCCGCCCCGAGCCAGCTTTGGCCGGGAGGGTGGGGTAAAAACCTGAATGAATGAATGAATGAATGAACCCGTCGGGTCCTCTACCAAGAAAAAATATGGGGCTGTGCTATGCTTGACAGGTCAGTCACGAGAAGAACCTTTGGGTTTTGATGGACTGACAAACTTGCACATCGCTATTTATTACAATCCTTTACATGCATCAATAAGGTGTTGCTTACAGAGCCTGTTTTGTACCCAACGGCCACGGACTTGGTACTCCCTTGAGAGATCTACGAGTGGCTGAGCTACTGTTCTTCTGGCCATTCCCCCTTCCGGCTCTCAGCGCTGCATTACTGCGGCCTGTGATGCCTGGTGCAGAAGAATTTCATATAGGGCAGGGTGGCCAAACTGTGGCTCTTTCGCACATATTCTGTGGCTCCCGGCAGGGCGGCTGGGGAAGCGAAGGGGAGGCAGGCCTCCCCAATCGGTCTTCCCTTCCCTTCCCCAGCCACTGTTCTTTCCACCTGCCTTTCTCTTTTTCTCTCTTTCTCCCTCCCCCCTCCTGCCCCCATCTATTCGCTTTCCTTGTTTCTTTCTCTTTCCACCGCTTTCATTCTTTCTCTCCACCTCTCTCTCTCTCTCTCTCTCTCTCTCTCTCTCTCTCTCTCTCTCTCTCAGACAAATAAATACCATTAGCAAACAAATAAATGTCATTGGGCAAGTAAATATCATTATCAATCCCTGTTTTTACCCCCTTTTGTTTTTGGCAGTCTCATTTAATGCTAACAAAAAGCGAACCGGCATATTTCCCAATAAAAACGGGTATGTGATATTTGTTCGTGACTTGCGGCGCTCAAACATCTGACATTTGTTCTATGTGGCTCTTAAAGGTAAAGGTTCCCCTGCTCGAAAGCCAGTCGAGTCCGACTCTAGGGTTGCTGTGCTCATCTCTGTTTCCAAGACGAAGAGCCAGCGCTGTCCCAAGACGTTTCCGTGGCCATGTGGCCGGCATGACTAAACACCGAGGCGCACGGGACGCTGTTCCCTTCCCACCAAAGCGGTACCTATTTATCTACTTGCAACGTCTTGCTTTCGAACGGCTAGATGGGCAGGAGTGTGGCTCTTAGGCTGAGCACGTTTGGCCACCCTGAAGATAGGATAGAGCACTGCCGGACTTCTGTCCTGCAACCCGGCAATAGACCCCAATTGATCACTCCAGTAAGGACCGTTCTTTAAAACACCTTTGGCAGCAAATACGTGCGGATCTCTCATTATCTGCGCACCGTTTTTGGAGAGCACGCAAGCGAAGATGGAAACTGAGGCAATGAGGACGGGGGGGGGGACTGCCCGAGGACGGGGGGCGGGCGACACTCACTTGCAGGCGCGCACCACCTCCGCGGCCGGATGGTTGATGGTGACCTCGCTCAGCGGGATGCGCCGCTCCTCCACCTCGGAGGCAATGAAGGTCTCCTTGTCGCCGCTCTCCACCTTGATGAGGCGAATCTTCAGCTCCTTGGGCGGCCCTTCGGTGAACGAACGCAGCTTGAGGAGATCGGCGGAGCACACCACGGTGGAGCCCCCCGAGCTGACGGTCCCCTCCTCCTTCTTCGTGGGGGGCCTCCGCTCCGGCTGGGGGACGGCCGGAGGGGGCGGCTTGGCCCCGTTCTCCCGGGCCTGGCTCTCGCTGCTCTGCACGTCCAGGCTGCCCAGGATCTGCCGGTTCTTCTCCTTGTGGCTCTTGCTCTCGCGGTGCCGCCGCGAACCGTCCTTCCCGGACCGTCGGTGTCGCCGGTGCTCCCGGTCCCGTTTGCGGGACTCGTCCTTGGGGCGCAAAGAGGGGGGAGGGGGTGGCGGTGGGGGTGGCG